CCAATTGTGCACAGCAGTGTTCCACAAACAGTTGTGGATTGAAGTGACCAATTTATTATTGGGGTTTTTTCTTGAGGGATTATTATCAGGCGTGTAGAATAAAGAAACTTGCCCAAGGTTTCACCCTGCCTGTATTTGAACCCAGGTCTCTCGCTTGTGGGACAAGTGCTTTAACCCCTGAGCTACAGGACTCCATAAAGTAGCGACTACAGTGCAGTGACTGTGTAGTGCATTATGTAGGCACATTTGCTTCTGGATTAGAAGGGCATGGATTCAAGTCACGGATCAGGATTATAATCAAGACTATTTTAGTAATACAAGGTTTTAGTTGAAAATTTGAAATGGTACAAGTTGGTTGTACACTTATTCTGCATGTAGCTCACATCATTTAAGTCGGACTTTGGAGTTGGCAGAGCTTTTAATTGGTGCAAATGATTGGTTTCTTCACACTAATTTGGGAACACCAGAGGAGCTTATTTCAAATTGTTTTACTCAGTGCATTACCAGGGATCTTTTAAACACGGAATGGGACACCCACATTTGCCGGTAAAGCCTCTTTGGACTTGTATGACTTGCAAAACGTTTTTGCACAAATACTATAGCTAGTACAGATTTCAACACTTCAGAAAAGATACAGTATGATAGTTAGATTCACAGCATGGAATCCCAATAATAAAAACACAGTGGGGGATCTAGCACTTTCTGCCTTCAAGCTCTAAGTGACAGCTCTATGTTTATCCGGCAAGGCAGAGTGTCTATACTGGACCATTCAACATTGAGCATGCAGCTGCTTTTATGACACAGATGGGTTTTAGTGAGTAATAATACTCTTTATCATGTGAAAGAATGGAGCTAGCACTATGTCACCTATGAGATGCTGAGTGGTTTCAATGCTCACTGTCTGAACTTCATTTGTGCAGTGCAGGTCCATTAACTGATGATTCAAATATCTATGCAGCAGGCTATACTGTAATGGGCTACAAACTGGAGTTTTGTCTCAGGTGATTGACTGGTATTGTTAAACTCTGCATTTACACAGCAGTCTACACATATTGTTTGTTATAATATTCTTATACTTTTTATAGCACGAGTCAGGAGATCATCAGAAACCATACAAAATAAATCTGTCACACACACGCGCAGATAATAAATCAGGGAAGGAATTACATCACAATCTAGCAGAACTTGTTAGAAAATAAAATCAGCCAAATCTGTAAGGAAATAACGCTAATTCCTCTAACCAGATATCAGACTGTTTTATTATTATTCGTTCGTTATTCCCCAATATCCCGATGGGTCAGACCAAAGGCCGGTACAATCAACAGATCTTATAACAGATTAACACCACTATAGATATCTCGAATTCAACAGCACACAAGCTTGATTCTTCATGCTTTCAGTCTTCTTGCTTACAGCTTTCAATCTTCCATCTGATATCCTCAGTCTTAGTGGTTCTAGCTCTCAGTCTTCCATCTCCCGTACCCTTGTCTCCGCAGCCCGGGATGGCTCCATCTCCCGTATCCTTGCCTCCGCGACCCGGGACAGCCCCATCTCCCGTATCCTTGTCTTCACGACCCGAGACGGCCCCGTTCACAAAGTTAACGGAACTCTTATACCAATGTTCATTCAATCATGGTGCGGACATTAGATCACCTGGTCGAAATCATGCTGGGTGTACGTGAGCACCTCATGGGGTGTACGTGCCTCAGCACACATACACATTGTCCTTAATTGTCTAAGATAGAGGATTGATCAGTTTAGGGCTGTATCTGGTGCTCATTATTTTGTGGTATAGGATCATTAGTACATTCCTTTTAAGTGACTGGTTATTCCTTATCAGTATCCCGGGATGGTACCAAGGTCCTCCAGTTTAAACAATTTGCTCATTAGTTGTTATTCTTGAGGGTTGCCTTCTGTTGCTTGGCAGGCCCTGTCAGAATCTAGCGACTTATTGCTCAGTCGAGATCCTGTGTCGACTAGTACCTTGGACCATTACCTCTGTGGGCTTGTTGTCATTTACTGATAAGAGGTGACCCCCTGCCCTTTTCCAAAGCTGTGCGTTATTCTTTCAAAAACAGAGAAAACCAGATGAGTCCTATCCCATGACTATCAGTCCAGTTGCCCCCACACTTAACTTAAAAGTTAACCCGTTCGCAACATCTATTGTGATTCTAACATTATACAAAAAGTGTATATTCTAACAAACTGTTCAGTAATTCTGATTTCTGTTCTTCCTCCAAAATATAGAAGACTTTACTGAAGACTTGTCATTTTGGAATGGTCATGGAATCAGTGTCTACGATTGGCATGAACTGCCTCACCTGGCTTCTGCTGAATTGTTCCTCTTGTTGAAAGCATGGATGTAACTGGGAACTCAATGCACGGGGAACTGTGTGTGCTTACCCTGACCAATTCTATGTATACATTATTATACAAATAACATCCATATATGTTGTCCCTAATTGTAGGGGACATCACATAGCTGTCAGCAGGTTCATGTAGAAATCTTTACAGCTAAATATTCCCATTGAAAAATGCATTTAGTCCTTATTATTTCTGTTGGTTCCAAGTCAAACAGGCTATGTACTAGCTAATAAAACCCATTGAAAATTATACTTATTTATGTGGCTTTCATGAGAGTGACAAATAGGAGTTCACATGAGTCAGTTGCCAATCTTTGACCTATGAAATCAGCATCCTGTGCATTGGATGCTCTAAGTTTATTGCTTATGCTGTATATAGATATGACCAGTTACCAGCCTAAACTGGATGTGATGTTTTGATGAACAAAACCAAATCTCAAGCCTAATTTTTCACCCAAAATACCTGTTCTTGGTTACTGACTTCCCAAAAAAATAGAGGGATTAAGGGATATGGGGATAGTGCAGGTAATTAGAGTTAGGTCTGAAGATCAGCCATGATCTTATCAAATGGTGGGGCAGGCTCGAGGGGCCGACTGGCCTACTCCTGCTCCTAATTCTTATGTTCTTATGTCTTCTGGGCACACTTTTTAACGTGATAGGAAATATGGGATGTGTAGGAATAAACATTTTTTTTTAAATTGTGGTACTTTCCCATCTTCTACAGTATTATTGTTTCTAATTTAATTTCCTTTTAGGAGAATGCCTTCTGTCTCTTTCAGATATTGTCAATTCATAAGATGCTTCTTACAGATATTATCACTTAGAACCATAGACATTTACAACATGGAAGATGGCCATTCAGCCCATTGTATCTGTGTTGGTTCTTTTAAAGAACAATCCTTTCAGTCCTATTTACCTGCACTTTCCTTTCATCCCCAGAGTAGGTTTAGTGTAACCAGATAAACCACTGAGGGGTCTAATGTAGCATGAGCATGTTAAAAACAATGATTCCCCCTCCTCACATTGAATAAACAGACTTAGGCTAACCTACACACACATTGTGAACACTCCTGAATCATACAGTGATCACTGGAGTCATGGCTCAAATTAAACATGATGTCAGACAACATATTGACATGAGTTATACCTGCCCTCTTCACACTCTTCCTTCCCCATCCCTCACAATCTGCCAAGTCTTAACTCTCTTTCTCATCCTATTAACCTTGCAAGCCAAAGACCTAACAGCCAGGGTGGTCCTAGTTGGACAAACAGTGGGAGATTTGCCAGGCAGTGCAAGCTAAGTGATTTTAGATGGTTAAACTCCAGCAGTATTCCAACACACACTCCTGGTTCCCCAAACCTTGGCTTTTGCTAACATGTGCCTAATACTCTCCGGATTTTGTAAGTAGGATACAGAAGTGGGATGGATAGAGATCTCTGTTTGGTTTGGATACTGTTAAGCATGGCGATAGGTTTCTGCAAGTATCAGACACCTGGCTCATCAAAAACAAATTCTCAGCCATTTTCATATCTCACCTCTCCTCGTTGTATGTACTGTACTCATTTGTGTCCACGTCTCCGAATTTATTGTTATTGCAAACGTCTCTCCATTTTTGCTGGACTGGTTGTTTCTCTACTTTCAGAGAGGAATCCTGTTTTTGAAACCCTTTCCTTCCCCTTGTCACTCTCAACACTGTCACTTTTCCTCCCATGTATATCCAATCCTCTCATCAATCTCACCCTATTCCAAAATGTCACTTTGTCTTCTAGCCATGAAACTTTTTTGGGGTGTCCCATTTTCCTTGTGCTGGCGCCTTATTCTCACATCATTCCACACTAACTTTCCTCAGGAAAAATCTGACAAAGTTTACTTAAGACACTGGCTTGCTTAGTCGCTGGCTGTGAACACTCAGCAGCTGGAATAGTTTTAGGTGTCAATTGTGCCAACTCTCTTGAGCCCATTTATATGTTAACTCCCATCCTTTTGACACTGTGTCATTGCATGGATCATTGGTCCTATCTCTCCCCCCCACACCTTCTCTGGATCTCTACCCTTATCCTTCTCAATCGCTCGATTGCCCTCCGGTTTAAACTGCAGCCCATGTTACAGCGGACACCGATGATGGAGGAGCTCTACAATTCGCTCTGAAACGGCGCATTTTACGCGAAAGTCGGGCATCGCGTTTTTTTTAAAAAAAAGAGCACCAGCTTTTTGCAATGGATTCAACTGTGTGCCACACTTCGCCTTAACTGCAACCGACCTCACCTGTATCCCCCCCTCCCCCCCTCCCCCACTCCCCCCCCGTTTGGGATCTTACTGCATTTCACAAAACAGTGATCATGAACTTGCTCGGATCTCTCTCTCTCTCTCTCCCTCCCTCCCTCCCTCCCTCCCTCCCCACTCGCCCGCGACCACTCGCACTCACTGGTGCGGAGTGTCGATCATCATCGCTCTGGTGCCTCTGCAGCCAAAGTTACACATAAAAAAGGAGTGTGTGTGTGTGTGTGGGGGGGGGGGGGGGTCCGACTGACCTGTCGCCTTGTGAATTGAGAAGGAAACAACCAGGATGGGTGGGTGGGGGGGTGGGTGGGTGGTGGGTGGGGGGGGTGCAATATATAAAAAAAAATAGCACTTACTTGCCGTCGCCGGGCGGAAATCGCAGGTGAACAACACCAGCATTGCGGAGTTCAGGTAAAGGGCCATTCCGTCCGGTGCAGAGCGGACACACGCGATGCGTCCACAGCCTCCGAATACAACACATGAAACCGAGCCCCGGGCGCCGGGGCTGTGCAGCGACTCCCAGGACCAGACGGCGATCAGTCTACCGTTTCTTTATCTGCCATCGGATCCCACCGATCCCGAATCGGGAGGGCGTCGGGGATCAAACTGCGGCCATCGGGAATGAGCCGATGAAAGTTGTCTGGGGCTGAATTGAATACGATTCTATTTTGTGTGTGTGTGTGTGTGTGGTGTGTGGGGGGGGGGGGGGTTGTGGGGATAAATGAATCCCTCGGGATCGGTCTCACCGTCTCGCATCCGATCGCTCCTCTGCAAGTCGGATTCTGGGATGGAGCAGGAACATCAGGAACATCAGCCCCGCACCTGCACCCAGTCAGTGATGGCCCCAGGACTGACCCCCCCCACCCCCACCTCCACCCCACCCCCAGCCTTGTGGGTCACACAGTTATATCAGTTGGGGTTTTTTTTTTCTCTCTCTCTCTCTCTCTGGACTCCGGGATGGGATGGGATGGGGGAGGAATAAAATAAAATAAAATAAAATAAAAATCTGTCTGGCGGGTAGCGAGGCAGGTCTCCCAGCTGAGAGCCTGAGGTTGCCTGTGATGTGGAAGCAGTGGGTGAGGGTTGTGGTGGGGGAGAGTCCGCCTGCAGATGGCACTGATTGGTTTGTGAAGCCCGGAGTCCTCGGCGGCTCCACTCACCACTGAACGTGGGCTGAGCTGACACTGTGGGTTTGGTCGGTGCCACCGCAGGACAAGGATCTGGAGTAGCTGCTCACTTGGGTGAGGGGACGACCACTGCAGAGGGCAGATAGAGCCATAGCTTTCATCTGCCAAGTGTGTCTGCAAATGCAGATGCACTGATCGCAGCTCTCAACCATATTTAAACCCTTTCCCTCCCAGATCCGTTTGCGTCCGGCATCAGCAGCGATATCTAAAATGATAACGGACCACCTCTTGCAGAAAGGGGCAACTTTTTTTCTTTCCCCCCAACCCCCCCTCCCGGAATAGCCTCACTTTTCAAAATGTAATGGCAATTTGATTTCAAAAGGTTTCTCGATTGGTGAATTGTCTGCAGTGCTTCTCGGTGAGGTGGCAAACATAGGAGAGTAATGTTCTGACTGCAACACTAAATACATCTGCAACAATTTGTTATATATATATATATATATGTGTGTATATATATAAAATGGGTTGTTGCCAATGTCACGGAACAATATCTGAATAGAGTGTGACTCTTGCAAACTTTGATAGCCGATCGTCAGGAGAACTCTTCATTCTAGGGTACTGATATCTGACCATCACCTTCTAAGTATGTGATAGTGATATGATAACCCACCTCCCTCCCCCCCTCCCTCCCTCCCTCCCTCCTTCCCGAAACCCAAACAAGACGGAAATTGGCTGAATCTGTCTGGTTTGTTTTTTTATAACTGCAGTAATCCTATTGCCTTTGCAAGATGTGTTGGATATAATCATTGCCCTCGTAATGCAATGATCTGTTGAGACCCATTCCTATCCCACTGTATCAGCACAGTAGTCCATTACTGGCTCGGTAATAACATTTTGCACCCAGTATAAAGGTGGCAAAGGTGCGGTGAGTCACTGACAAGAGGAAGGGGAATTTGACAAGGGAGCGAGTTATTTCCACGTGCATTTCAGCAACACCTACCAGCCAGTCCCAGACACTGGTGGAGATCAAAGTCATTTTTAGAATGGTTCATCCTTGCTCTCAGGTTGGAACCATGACACTTGGGGATGCTGTTCCTTACCCTCCTGGTAAGTGTATTTAGAAACATATAAAGGATAACTTTTTTTTAAAGTAACATTTAATTATGATACATTTCATTGTAGGTTACGATGAGTAAGCAGAGATCTATAGCAGTGCAAGGGAATCGTTAAGCAATGAAGTCGTTGGCTGATAACTGCAATGCACTGCATTAGTGGTGTGGTATAGAACTGAAGGTGCGAAAGGTGGACGTGGTGAAAGGACATCAGTTACCAAACGCTGGGAAAGTGGAAGGTTTGGGATATGATTATTGACCTGCAAATATCCAATCAATAGGATGCTATTAGCAGCAAGATTAATAATACACTAGAAAGCAACGCAAAACCATGTGACAGTAAATCAAAACCAGTTAGTCTAACGCTACATAGATCATTGCTGTGGCCATACTTGAAATATTGTGTGCATATTTGAGCAGCACCTTCCACTGAAAGGCAAACAGAAGGTAAATACAAAAGCTGCATAGTTGCTGGTCAGAGCTCCCTACCAGCCATTCTAGTCACAGTCATAACAAGAATGTTATTGCCCTTGAGAGGGTACAAAGACCAGCAATCGAGATGATTTTTAGTATAAAGAATTTCAATTCTGAGCAAATGTTAAGAAAAGTGGATTTGTTTACTTCAGAACAGTGGAAACGTCACTGAAAAGATGATAACCTAATTTAAGGTTCCCAGATTTTGAAAGACATTGATAAAGATGTTCTCTATGGTAAGGGTTTGAATACAATTCTATCTTTCAATCCAGGTGGGTATTAAAGATCTCATGGCACTCTTCAACAAGAGAAGGGGTTTCTCCCGCTCTCCTGACCAACAATCCCCCAAATAAACTTGGTCACGCACTCTGTGGCTGTTTGTGGGCCATTATTATCCACAAATTGGATGCCCAGCTTACCAACAAAATACACATAGTTACACCACTTTACATTATATGCTGTAAAGCTCTTTGCGATGGCTCGATGATGTGATAAAGTGTGATATCAAATGTAAGGATTATTATTATTATTATGATTCGTCTACAAAATATAGTCACTGCATTTTAGGGTATATCCTGCAAAGCACTTTGAGACATTAGATGGGTAACGTAGCTGTAATTGAGACGTTCAGAAGACGTGAAAAGCGTTATATCAAATGCAAGGATTTTTTAAATAATTTTATCATTTATTCCTAATTATAAATTATTTTATAATTTATACTGAATTATAAACTAACAACCTTCAAAATATTTGAATCACATTTGTTTTGTTTAAACTGTCATTTTAGTTTTTTAATAATATTCCTTGCATTTTATATAGTGCCGTGTCAGATTGAAATGTCTCGAAGTGCTTCACAATGTATTTGTAGGTGAATGTGGCAGTTTTGTTACAGAGCAATGTCCGTCAAATAGCTGGGAGGTGAATGATTTACTGCAGGATTGTTGGTCAGAGCTCTAGGACAGACTCATTTCGAATGCTGTCATAGATTCTTTTACTCGACCTGAACAGGCAAACAAAACCTCGGTTTAATGTTTCATTTGAAGGATGGCATTGCTGACAATGCAGCACTCCTGCAACACTGCACGGAAGGGCCAGCCTGACAATGAGCTCAAAGACCCCAACATAGGACTTGAACCCAAAGCCTTCTGCCCCAGAAGCAAGAGTGCTACCAACTGATCCAACCAGACACCTATCTTTCTTTTGAATCTAGATTTTCTATATTTCTGTATTTTACCCATTCATAATTTTTTCATCTTCATTTTTATCTCGTTTTTATAATACAAGATGTAAATCTGACCTAGTTTGTAAACTTCTTGCCTCTGCATCAACATATTATAGGTCAACGGTATTCGGAATTAAACACTATTAATTTCTTTCCCTGCTTGTTTTTTTTTAAGATTCCACAAGACTATTTGAGAAGAGAAGGAAGTTTCTCCCAGTGTTCTGTAAAATAATCTAAGCCATAACTATTTAAATAAATTGGTTGTTTATATCATGGCTAGTTGTAGGACATTACTGGGTACAAATTTATTGCTGTGTCTCCCTTCAAATAAGCAGTCACTTGACAACAATTATTGTACCTTGAAATGTTTCGATGTCATAACTGTTTTGTCAATTGCAAAGCTTATTCTCCCTTCAGTGCCAGACAATCCTACCTTTGTGCTATTTTCTCTCGGGATCCTGTAAAGAATTACATTTGCATTGTCTGCCTGCCTTTATACTTCCCACATTTAGGAGTTCTGTAGCTCAATGTTTAGAGCATTCGCCTCGCAAGCGAGAGACGTGGGTTCGATTCCCGGCAGGGCGAAACCTTGGGTAAGTTTCCTTACTCCACACGCCTGATAATAATCCCTCAAGAAAAAAAAGCAAAAATAATTTGGTCACTCAATCTACGAATGTTTGTCACACTGTGTGCAATTGGTTGCCGCGTTTCACCCACAAAATATACAGTTAATTGACTTTACAGTATATTCTATGAAGTGCTTTGAGACATCTAGAAGATGTGAAAAGCGCTATGTCAAATGCAAGGATTAATTATTATTATATTATTTATCTCTGTCACCTGATCAGTCTTGCTTTATGACTCATGGCTTGAAGAGCATTGCTGCTGCCAAAAAGCTTTTTCCACATACTCTTAGTTAATCTCAGAATATAAAAAAGTGCATGACAGCCAAAGACCTTAGAACCAGTAAACCTGCCAATATTAATTATTCTCAACCCCAGGAATCATTCTAGTTCCCTCTTGAATGTAATTACGCTGTTTGTTTGATGGCTTTCCTGGTATCTTATTCTGCAAGTAGATTACTCTTTGTCCAATATTTGCAATATTCATTGTGTTATTGCGATATCTACTTCGTAACTAAGCCAATTTACAAAACTCACAAAATTAAAAAAATGGAAATAAAATTGACGAGAAAAAGGCCTTTTGCTGCTTGAAGCTGCCATCATAATGAAAAATTGCCCAAATCAGTCTTATCATTTTCCTAATCTGTAAAATTGATAATAATAATAATCCTTGCATTAGATATAGCACCTCATCTTTTCATTGAGACATCTCAAAGTGCTTCAAAGGATATACTGTGAAGTGGATTAACTGTGTGTTTTGTGAGTGAAACACGACAGCAAGTTGTGCACAGCAATGTCCCATAAACAGCCAAAGAGTGGGTGACCAATTTATTTGGGGGATTGCTGGCCAGGCCACCAGGAGAAA